GCTGGTAGTTTCGAACTGCTGACCTTGCGGTTCGCAGCCCGATTCGTAACCACTAAGCTACCAGAGCTCCTTATAGCATCATAATATTCTCATGACAATATAAATAGTGGTCTATATAATTAATTTGCCTAGGTGTCAACAGCACTTAATTTGAACAGCCCCTTGGAGATAAACGGAATTATTATTTTTTTTTTAATTGCAGGGATAGGTAAGCTTTCCTCTGAATTTGGTGACACATTTAGTGTGTAAGGCGTGGGAACCACCCTGGCTAAGTCAAAGTCATTACTTAACTTAGATTAAAGCAAGTATCCAGAATAAAATGTTGAGACCCCTAAGAATTGGAATTTTAGGATTTGTCATGGGCTAGCTGAAACAAAAATTGCTGAGATTTTATCCTGGCTTATCCAGTATTGTTTTCATTGCCTTGATGGTCCAGCTCTGGTTTGAACAGGATCTTCTGGTCCAAGGGTCACCCTCACTTTCATTGTTTTAAGCTTCTAGTCAATTAGTGGTAGAGGACACATGACAAAGTAAAATTTTAGGCGGTGCATTTAGTCTTATTTCCTAACTTTCTGTCACTTTTTCTTCTTCTTTTTTAATGTTAGATTTAGCTGTAATAGAACTAAATATGGAGAAAATTTGTTCATATTTAGATTAAGTGAGTAATAGTGCTTTCTTTGATGATGGCAGTAAAAAGTCGAAGAGAAATCTCTGATGATAATTATGCATGTGTGTGGTGGAGTGAGGGATAGAGAAGCATCTGGAACCAGACCAAAATAGAGACACAGAGATGATTGGGACACTAAACATATTTCCATAAGCAAAGGAAGACATGGTATCAAACTCTGTACAAAATAAAGTAGGGTAACTACTAAAAAAGAGCAAGATTTAAAACTAGAACATTATTCTAAACCAGGTTTTCTTCTCTCAACATTTTCAGTCTCTTCCTTTAAGTATTTCAACCAGGAATCTGTTATGTCCCCTAAAGATAATATGTTGGAGTTCCATAATGTCCTTTTTAGTTGTTGTTAAATTTTCATTGTGAATTGAGAGATAGTTTACATGAGGGAACATCAACTTTACACTCATCATTTCATTGCAGTGATTACAATCTCTTCTGTGCATCATTATCCAACAGTATGTGCTACTATTCCTTTGGGTTTTTCTTTGTTTGTTTATTTGTTTTTTGGGGGGAGGGATGTACACAAAACACTCAGGAATATATAATCTTTTAAACAACCAAGGACACATTCTGCAAGCCTGCCTCTTAGCCACCAGCACCTGGCTGCCAACACACAGCCCTTCTCTTTCCCTGAGTCTAGAGTCCTCAGCTGCTCTCTTTCTCCATGCCCTCATCTCTTGTCTCCAACTCTGGTGTCGCTGCTTCTCTGTATAGGGTCCCACATTCTGTTCATGCTCCTCTCCCTTGATGGTCCTAGGGTTCTCTTTTCCTGGACTGTAAAATTAACTACTCCCCTCTTTTTGTTACAAAACTTCTACCTTTAGAGCTGTGACAGTCGAATTAATCATGATAACAATTACACACTTTTGAATCATAAGAGTCTTATCCCCATTTCCTTTTACCGGACCCATTTAGACAACATGATAACTATTTAGTGGGGATTCTACCTTCCCCCACACACTCTAAAACTAAACTCTCTCTTAAAAACATGTCCAAAATATGCTTGTGAACATGGCTTTGTTTGGAAGCGGTTTTTGATGATGTCATCAGTAAAGTTAACATAAGGTCCTACCAGAGGGGTGGGTCCTAATCCTCTGATTATAAAGGAGAACAGAGATAGAGAGGTACACTGAGGAAAGATGCCATGTGACATTGCAGTCACAATTTAAGAAACATCTGGAGTTACAGGAACTAGGAAAGAGTCAAGGAATAGATTCTCAAATTCACAGAGGTTATCAACACGACTGTGACCCTGATCTTCGACTCTCACTTTCTATAACTGTGAGATAAGAAACTTCTGTTATTTTTTTAAACCATCCACTTTGTGGCATTTGGGTACTGCAGGCTGAGGAAAGGGAAAAAAATTATAAATTCATAAAGTAGCATGCCCATCTCTTCCAAACTCTAATTCTGATAACAACTGAAAACATCTCCATAAACTTAATATCAAGTTCCTAAGCTCAGTACTCCACCACTTGTCTGTCAGTGTGTTGTACTGTGGTGGCTTGTGAGTTGCTAAGATTCTGAAAGAATGCTGTGATTCTGAAAGAACCAGAAAAGTTGTGGGATGACATCAAGAACATCACACAGAAAGAAAGCAAAAAGTCATTTAGAAGACAAGAAAGAAGGAAAAAGTCAAAATGGATGTCAGAAGAGAACTGAAAGTTGCTCTCTAGTGTAGAGATGCTAAAGCACTTGGAAGAAATGAGAAGGTACAAGATCTGCACAGAAAATTTCAAAGATCAGCTCAAGAAGATAAAGTCAAATATTACAATAAAATGTACAAATATCTGGAAGCAGAAAACCATAAAGGAAGAACAAGCTCAGCATTTTTCAAGCTGGGGAAACTGAAGAAAAAATTCAAGCCTCAATTTTCGTTACTGAAAGATTTTCTGGGAAAATTATTGAATGATGCACAAAGCATCAAGAGAAGATGGAAGGAATACACAGTCACTGTACCAAAAGGAAATGATTAATGTTCAACAGTTTCAGTAGGTAGCTTATGATCAAGAGCCAATAATACTGAAGGAGGAAGTCCAAGGTGCATTGAAAGAATTGGGAAAGAATGAGGCACTAAGAATTTATGGAATACAATTTGAAATCTTTCAAGAGAGTGAGGCGACAATGGAGGCACTCACTCATTTTGCCAAGAAATTTGTAAGAAACTATCTGGCTGACTGATTGGAAGAGATCCGTATTTGTGCCCATTCCAAAGAGAGGTGACCCAACAGAATCGGAAATCATCGCACAATCTCCTTGTTATTCCATGTAAGTAAAGTCTTTCTAAACGTAATACAGAAACAGCTACAACCATACATTGACAAAGAATTTCCAGAGGTTTAAGTTGGATTCAGAAGAGGCTGTGGAATGAGAGATATCATTGCAGATGTCCGATGGATCTTGCCTGAAGGCAGAGAATATAAAAAAGATGTTTACCTGTGTTTTATTGACTATGCAAAGGCTTTTGATTGTGTGGATCCTGACAAGCTGTGGACAACATTGCAAAGTATGAGTATTCCATATGAGTATTAATTGTACTCATGAGGAATCTGTACCTGGACCAAGAAGCAGTTGTTTGAACAGAACATAGGAGCACTGAATGATTTAAAATTAAGAGAGGTGTACGACAAGGTTTTATTTTTTTTCACCACACTTATTCAACCTGTATGCTGAACAAATAATCTTTTCTATGAAGAAAAACATGGCATCAGGATTTGAGGACAACTCATTAACAACCTGCGATATGCAGATGATACAACCCTGCTTAATGAAAATGAAGAGGACTTAAAACATTTACTGATGAAGATCAAAGAGTACAGCCTTCAGTATGGATTACATCTCAATGTCCAGAAAAGAAAAATGCTCACCACCGGACCAATAAACAACATTCTTATCAATGGAGAAATAATTGAAGTTGTCAAGAACTTCATTCTTCTTGGATCAACTAACAACACTCACGGAAGCAGCAGTCAAGAAAGCAAATGACATATTACATTACGCAAATCTGCTGCACAAGACCTTTTTAAAGTGTTGAAGAGCAAAGATGTCAGCTTGAGGACTAAGGTGCGCCTGACCCAAGCCATAGAATTTTCAATAACCTCATATGCTTGTGAAAGTTGGACAGTGAATAAGGAAGATCGTAGAAGAATTTATGTGTTTGAGTTATGGTGTTGGAGGAGAATACTGAAAGTGCCATGAACTGCCAAAAGAATCAATAGATCTGTTTTGGAAGAAGTGCAGCCAGAGTGAGGCCAAGATGGTCAAACTTTGTCTCTCATACTCGGGACATATTGTAAGGAGGGACCAGTTGCTGGAGAAGGATATCATTTTTGGTAAGGTGAAGGATCAGAGAAAAAGAGGAAGCCCCCCAGTAAGATGGATTGGTCAGGTGGCAGCTTCGATGGACTC